AGCACTCGACTTCCTGTAGTCACAAAGTCTTGTTGGTAACATTGGGCTGGTGTCTCCCAACACTTTTAAGAGGGCACATGCCCAGAAGCACAGTGAATCCCGCTGTTGCGGAAAGGTGCTCAGACCACAAGACAGATACACAAACAACATTGCAGAATCGGGCTCCGTGCGCAAATAAAATGGAACTATTTTTCCCTCGTAATCAACAACAGCACTAGAAAATTCACACCAACTCAGTCTCCTTTCATATAAACAGAAATAACCGTCATTATAATATTAATTTGTGCAATTGATATTGCACCTTACCACATCGTTGAAACGTTTCAATGTGCTTCATAGGATTTAAAGTGCAGAGACTGACAAAATCTATCTGGGGGATGGTTGATTTGGACACCATGAGAAACTCTGTTCTCTTTCAAATAGTGCCATGGGATCTTTAACGTTCACCAGAATGGGCAAATGCTAAATATTTGAGCTCAAGAATCTTGCAATCACTGATGATCAGTTAAAAATTGTCTGAACTCCTTTCCATCAAAATGTGTTCGCCTGAATTTCTCCTAGACATCTAGAAGATGTGAAAAGTGCTATATCACATGCAAGGATTATTTATTATATTATTATTATTTATACCGGGCATGCAAGATACCACAACACACATACTTCTCATTGAAAGCAATCAGAGCAGAAAACTAAGCTACAAAGCGAGAGATTGCCTTTGGGATTATGAGCACTATACATCACGCCTCTCTACACATCGTAATACTGTACACCAAGATTTGCAGAGTTTCATTCAACAAAATCTATTGGCTGCACAGGTTTTCTCATTATTATTTGGATATATGCGCACATAATTTTTAAGTTGATTCAATCTCTGAAACCGCAGGTGAGTTTAAAAGCTGGCCGACATTCTGCTTGTTGTAAGTACGTAAAAATAGCTTCAAAATGTGTGCATTTCTGAAATGCCAAGACACTCTCCAATAAATTCTGTTAGCAGCAGGGGAACGCTGAGACGTGAGGCGAGGTTCAGAGGGGTCGATTTGCAGTACCCACACCTCACAAATGGCTCCATTCAAGATGCCAGTCACAAGTGTTACCCATTACCTTCTCCGAGGGTGTTCCTTTAAAGGGTTACGTTATTGACATTTGGTAAATTAAGTTTTCCCCGGTTAAATTACTGCAGAAATGTTTTCACATCCTCTCACTTTCTTCCAGCCCCTCAGGCCGATAGAAGATCAAAAAGTACAATCTTGAAATGAAAATGTTCAGGGTTGTAGATTTTCATCTACTCTGATCGTCCGCTTTGCTATCACCTGGACTTTGATGAACCTAAATTTCTGAAATACCCTTCAAAGCTCCAGCTCTGTGTCCTGACTCTCAATCTCACAATCACTCGATATATACTGTTTCCAAGTTAAATTGTTTTAAAAAACAGCTCGACACACTGCCTTGAAGCACTCCAAAAGTTATGTTTCTATATTTAATTTGAGCCGTTTCTCAAATTCTCTTCCGAGTTACCTTTACAGGTCTTCAATGTAGCACTCACTACAAAATTAGTTTGACAGACAAATCTATTAGCTGATAGGACCTCTTCCTAATCATTGCAACATGTCCAAATAGTCCATGAAAAACACCATCCTTGAATGCCATTACAGTATTTTGCATTCACTCTCAGGAGCTGCTTATTCACATTTCAGTATATATAAAATATAGATATATATAATCCATAAAGACAGTTTAACTATGTGATTCTGTACAACAAAGGACTTTTGCTAAACTCTCTTTATAGATTTCACTCCATAAGATGTATGAATATTCCATTTTTGAACAGATTTGGCTTCTGAAAATTCACCACACTTTCAATTAATAATAATAATCTGTGCATTTGATATAGCACTTTTCACGTCTTCTCGAAGTCTCAAAGCGCTTCACAGAATAGACTGTAAAGTGAATTGACTGTATATCTGTGAACAAAATGCGGCAGCCAATTGCGCACAGCAATGTCCCGCAAACAGTCGTGGATTGAAATGACCAATTTATTATTTCTTTGGGGGATTATTATCAGCCGTGTGGAGTAAGGAAACTTGCCCAATGTTTCACCCTGCCGGGAATCGAACCAAGTCTCTCACTTGCAAAGCAAATGCTCTAACCACTGAGCTACATGACTCCACAATTATGGCTGAAAGAAGAGAATTGCTGTATGAGGGAGAACAAGGCAATTATTAGATTTGCTAAGTTCAAAGTTACCCTTCTTCGGGCAAGGATTTCTCCAGTGGTACCTTATTGGATTCAATTCCATTAATGATTTGCACAAGAAATATGTCGCATTTCACAAGGACACTAATTTGGAGTCATAGTTTTGGTATTCGTTTGTTGCAATATCTTGATTTCTCACAGCTCTTACTCAGTTTACTAGCAATCACTTGTTGAGGACTGATTTGTTTGTTATTGTTCAGGCTTCTTTCATAAGTTTGAACTTGTTATGTATTTCTGACAGACTGTATCTACACTTTAGTTTCTCGTAACAATTCAGCACAACTTGTCAAAGCATTCTCTCACATGGATTCACTGCTCTGCTTGATTTCACACGATAATTTATTGGAAGACAGAACGTTTCAGCTCTAGGCAGGGATTTGCTCTGATGTTCTCCAAATCATCGGAATTCCCTCGAACCCGATTTTCATCCAGCGAGTCCCTATGACACTCTTGCTAATAGAACGGATTTGCTGTATGGATCTTGGATCACACGAGGATTTATTAAATCCAAACAGTTTCACTTCTGGTGCGAATTCACCATGATAATCTAATCGCTCCCCGCAGGTCTGTGCCTCGTTCCTTTTTCTAGTTACAACTATGATACATACTCTTATTCTGACAGTTTTGCTACCGAGCAAACGAAACACAATTGCTGTAGAGTTGGAACCCGAGACATTGTTTCTCACAACAATTCCCAGTTTACAATCAACACTGTCCATTCTCAGAGGACAACAACTCGTGTTTTCATAGCGCCCGTCACGTGGGGTAGAGGAACAGACAAAAAGCACTCTCCTTCATGAAAAATTCATGATTCAACTTTATGACCGACCCTTTTTATCGACTTCAGAGGAGCCCTGTTAGAACACCACTGTGTTTATCCTGCTCGTGTTCTGTGGACCCACGTTAACTGGAAATGCAGTATACCTGGCTGCTAGTACCAACAAGCCAGCTGCCCGTGCTTAAAGACTGATATTTTCTGGGTCATCTGACATCACTTCCTACGTGTTCCACACATGTGCTTTGTGCAGGAAGCGCTGCAAATGTCACTATGCAAAAGGAAGAAACACGAGACCCAATGACCCAGAAGTCAGTCATTCTTAAGACCTTTACTTATTATGTAGCATGGGAGCTATTGGACCCGTTGGTCCAATGTTATAACACAAAGTAGCTGAAGCTGATCCTAATTCTCCAGCATTATTAAATAAACCCTATATTTAACAGTGCAGCAAACAGTTAATAACATTGGTAGCATTTCTATTCTTCACGTGGTTACTTCAATTCTAAACATACATTACCTTTATATGGTATTTTGAGTCATGAGTGTACAGATTATTCCTGGTCTAAACATGCTATAGCTTTGTCGTGATCCCATACTCCATAACATTTTTCAAAGAAGGTACGAAACATGAAAACTTCAACAAATGTACCTTCTGGCCCTGCTTGTCAAACATTCAAATCTTAGCAATTTCAGGAATGCGTTCTGTGCATTCCGATCCTCTACCCCCTCTGCTAACCACAGAGGTAAACATCCAAGTATAAAGAACATTCTGTATAACGCCCTCCACTGTCAAAACCTAGATTATTTTCCTAATGAATAGTACTGGAGAGAAGACCATATCAAAGTGTACCTCTTTGACTCCTACCTGATAGGGAGGAGTACAATTACAGGCATTCTCTGTGGGGCAGCGAGGCTGAGGTCTCAAAAAGGGTTTTCATTCTGAAACGTCAGTATCAATCCTAACCTTACAACTATACCAACAAGCGACTTTTCCACAATATTGACTGCTTAAATGGTTACTTCAGCTCTAAACACACATGACCTGGTTGGTATGCAGGAAACAAGTCAACTACTGCGAAAGCTTCACTAACTCCATGATAGTTCACTTGCCAGTCAATGGGTTACACACGGTGTGTTCCTGGCTGCAGTATGGACGGTGTTGCCAATTAACTAACGCGCTATAGTTATGACTGTTAGGGTCCCTAATACTTTGCCTTCTGTCAACTAACCCACGTTCTTTGGAAGTAGCACGTGTGCCCCATAGAAGCTCTAGGGAGAGATTTCACAACTGCAAACAGCAAATCTGTTTGGATTGGAATTCTGTCTGCTATTGGAAACTCTCAACCACAGTCAGGATGTGGGGTGGGTGGGCATCAACCTTCTGGCTGAACAAATATAAACTGAACAAAACAATAACGAAGAAATCTGCAGGAGAGAAGGGTGGGGGGGGGGAAAACTTATTTTATCTCGCAATAGCAGAGCAGTTAATGACCCAAAATGATGCTTCCTCTCCCAAAGTTAAACCAGACACAGCAGACGAGACACTCAAAAATGAGTCATTCATTGTTCATCGACTAAGATTACTTCAACAGAGCAATTTGGAATTGTAAGCTACAAGCGTATGGTAGGCTATGGTTAAAGAAACTGTCCAATTAAATTGTAAATACTAGACAGTAAATGGTGGGGGGATGGAGGGGGGGGAAACACAAGCTCTAAAAAAAATTTCCATTTGTACAGGACAACGCACATCAGATAGGCTGCCCATCACACTGATGTGATGTGATGTACCAAAATCCCAACTCTTCGAAAGGTTGAACGAACATGAAATCATTATTAATTTCGCTGATCACAGTTAAAATGATTAACCCGCTACAACCTTAGTTTCACTTCGGACTCACTTACAAAAATTCTAATTAATAACGGTCGTTTAAACACTAAATTACTGAACCTGAAGCGCAGTTCGACATAC